GATTCGAGCGGCGGCGGCAGCTGCAAAGGTCATTAGCACCCGGTTTGGTTCCAGGAAGGCTGTGAGCTATTCGCGATGTTCAACCTTGAAATGCAAGGGGGTTATAACATACCGGCTGCCGCTGCAGCATCAACTGGTGACCCTTTTGCGTCCGACGCACTATCGTGACCGAGGGGACTGCGATCTCTGCCTTCGGGTCGACGGGTTGGTGGAGAGCGCGAGCGGCGGTCGAATCTCGAGGCCCTCTTTGGCTCAGGTTCTGTTTGGTCAAACCGTGACCTCTTGGCTGTTCGCCGTTCGGAATCCTCCATGGCGGAAATTACGCGAGAAGCCAAGAATGGGCGACGTCGAACGAGGCGCTCAAAGTTGATTGGGAAATGGGCTGTCTTTTTACAGACAGAGTGCGGACGTATGTATGCGAATCAGGACAACACTTCGGAAGGCGTCGATTGGCCCTTGATGCAAAATAAGATACTCGCGTGGTCGTCACTCGACTGTAGCAATGTCAGATGCATGCACAAGTCGGGCGCAAACCAACTTGCAGGTTGGTCGCGATGCTGAGGTTGAGGCGCTGCTCTCGGCACGGCAGAAAATTGTACATGGGACCAACATTAACGAGACACGATTGGCGGCGGCAGCGCCTGAACGTGGTACTTACCTAAGGCGGTAGGGCGGACACCTGTCACCAGACGGCACAATTTGGTGCAAGGGCTGTGCAGACTGTGCAGGTGGCGCAGTGCATGTTCGGGGACTGAGTCAAGAGTGTGCAAGCTCCGTACCAAGGCGACATTTGGCCAAATTATTGGTTCATATTCCGGTTAATCCATGTTCAAAGTATACATTCAAAAACACACCTCTACACTCAATTTCAGAATCCTGGGGAACATTGGAGCCGCAGCCGTGGTGTCGTGTTAGAATTAGAACAAGTCTTGGCTCGGAACGGTTTGGCGTCATGTAACTCATGTTCCAGCCTTGGATGTTGAGAAACACGATTGGGATGAATTGATTCGCGGCTTGCCCTATTAGCTGTACGGGTTTTTGTTTAAAACACGGCACTTGTCCATCCCAGTTAGAAACCAATCGGTCTGAAGCTCAATTCCATCTCCAGGCCGAGTCAGCTCTTGAAGAAGTGTGGACATGGGCTTTTAGTAGCAGTCGACCTACCTGTCGATTCCAGGCGCATTTGCAGCCCAGATGTCTGGCTACTGTGAGATGTACTGCCAGGTATATACTCCAGTATAGTATTTGTGTATTCTTCTCAAAAAGCAAATATTCTGCCATGAGTATGTACTTTGTAATAAATTCCACCGAATGTATATTCCCCAGATTGTGGAGGTGTGCCAGCCATTTTCGCACTGTATGTCCGCCAATCATCTTCCCCATACCCCAGTCCTTCACCTCCGGTCTTTCGGAGGACCGTGATAGCTTTTGACTCACGACTGCAATCTTCTCCTGCATCGTATCCTGCCGTCCCCTCCGACGTGCAAACGATTCCTGAGAGAAACATCTTGTATTTTCACAAAAGGGAAAGCCATTGGCCATCCCCTGTCTGAAAAGCAACCAAGATGGCCTCCCTCCGGTCGTGCGCCACTCCCCTGCGCTGGGCGACCAAATCCTCAACCCTCAGCTTCGTGCGATACAACTCCTCCCACAGCAGCTCAACCTCTGCCATTGCCTACAAGGCTCTTCGAAATCGCTCTGCCCCCTTGCCCGTGACCAACGCCCCTCCAGCATGGTCCGCCCAAGCCGCCGTTTCCAACATCCTCTACGAAACGCCCACGCCGTCCATGGCCCCGCCGAAGCGCCATATCCTTAATTGCCTGGTCCAGAACGAGCCTGGTGTCCTCTCTCGTCTTTCTGGTATTCTGGCAGCTCGTGGGTTCAATATCGACTCGCTAGTCGTGTGCAACACCGAGGTGGAGGACCTGTCTCGCATGACCATTGTCCTGACTGGCCAGGACGGCGTTGTCGAGCAAGCTCGTCGACAGCTGGAGGATCTTGTCCCCGTCTGGGCGGTGCTTGATTACAGCAATGCTGCTCTTGTTCAGCGTGAGCTGCTCTTGGCCAAGATCAACATCCTGGGCCCCGAGTACTTTGAAGAACTGCTCTCTCACCATCGTGAGATAACGGCCGGCGAATACGACCGCGAACATACTCCCGAAGGTGCTGAACAAGCTCAGTCTTTGGAAGAGACGTCAGCCGACTTCCACCCTAGCAAGCTGGCAGCCAGTGAGGCTTTGCGTCACAAGCATGAGCACTTGAAGACCATCACGTATTTTACTCATCAGTTTGGTGGCAAGGTTTTGGACATCAGCACCATTAGCTGCATTGTCGAGCTGTAAGTTCACATGAACCGTGGCGTGATGCATTCGCAACTGGACACTAACGTGGTAATTACAGCTCCGCTAAGCCCTCTCGAATCGACTCTTTTCTCAAGCTCATTGCTCCCTTTGGTATCCTCGAGTCAGCCCGCACCGGTCTGATGGCTCTGCCTCGCTCCCCTCTCCGTGGGCCTGCTGAGGAACCTCTAGTCAAGGAAGCCGAGGAGGTCGTTGACGCCAGCCAGCTCCCCCCTGGTTAAATTTTTTTCTTTAAAGTCAAGCATCCTATGGGGGGGTCGTTGACCACTCGGCGTCTGAAGGAATGGGAGCTTTGTGTATAGTTGTTTATATTGTTGGTTTATTTAAATTCAACGGCTGCCTACGCTACTTGGCTTTTGTGCGCCCAAATCCATTGTTGAAGAGTTAAATCAAATACCGGTAGCTCAATTACTAGTTCCTTCCCTCACTTTAACAGGTTGCCCTTGTTGACAACGAAGCCCTCGAGCGCAGCTATTCACCTGTTAGTTCTCTTCTCCAATGAACATGAACTCGAATCACGTACCAACAGCAGCCCACAACCGATTCTCTGCCTCGGGAAAGACGAGAGACCTAGGACTGTAGAAGACTTCATCTGCAACCTCCTCGGGATGTCGAGGCAAGCAGTGCATAAACTTCCAGCCCTCTTTAGCGCCGCCCCTCTTGGCCAAGTCATTCGTGATTTGATATCCTGCAAACGCCTTTAGTCTCTTCTGCTGCTCACTCTCTTGGCCCATGGAGATCCACGTATCCGTGACCAACACGTCCGCACCCTTGATGGCTTCCTCGGGGACCATAGTCTCCGAGAGTTTGCCAGGTGAGCTGACCCCCTCGGCCGAAGAGATGATGAGCTGCCTCATCTTATCGGGGATTCCATAGCCAGCAGGGGATGCAACCGCAATATCAACGCCCATCTTGACGCAGCCAATGGCCAGATCAAACAGAACATTGTTAGAGTCTCCCACCCAGGCGACCTTCAAGCCATTGAGACCCAGGCCAGGTTCAGAGGGTTTTGAAGAAGGAAAGGCCTCGTGGATCGTGAGAAAGTCAGCAATGGTCTGGAGGGGGTGGAAATCCTCAGACAGGGCGTTGATGACAGGCACGCTGGAGTGCTTAGCGAGATTGGCAACGTCAGAGTGAGGCCCGACACGGGCGACCATGCAGGAAGTCATTGACGAGATGACAACTGAAGTGTCGTACAGGCTCTCATTAACCTAACACGCGGTCAGCAAACATGGCAAGTGTGGGAGTTTGGGGTTCAAGCATACACCGAGCTGAATGTCATCCTTGCCCAAGAACATGGGATGTCCACCAAGCATCGTCACCGCCGCCTCGGTAGACACACGCGTCCTCGTACTCCTCTTGCTAAACATCATGGCAATAGTCTGGCCCGACAACGAAGTGCTCAGCGAGGGCGGCGTTTGACCGGCCTTGACGGCCTGCTTGCGCACAGCAGCATTGCGAACTATGGATGAAAATTCAGCGGGTGTCAGGTCAGCGATTGACATGAGATGCCTGGGTCCTGAGGATTGAGAATATGCCCGTTTTTGCAGGCCGTTGAGGGCGAGACGAGCTGTGCGTAATGTTGATGGTTTCATGGCGAAATGTGTCTTTGAGTTGGATGGAATGGGTGTGTGACTGAGTGTGGAAGAGTGAGGGGGAGCGACCGGCCAGGATGGTGCTGCAAGTGATGCAATTGCTATCTCACTTAATACTTATGCATCACGACGTCTTGGGATTTTGTGAGCTGGATGGGTATCATTAACTGGATGGAGTCATTGTCCCATTGGTGTTCGCCGTTGGCGGAGCAGTGGTACAGTGCCGGGACTGTGTTCCACTTTTTGACGTTGCTTCTTTCGCTCTGAATATTACGGGAAGGGGACTGGAGTAATACTGACCTGCCGAAATGAAAGAAGCCACATGCTCGTATCCAGCTTGAAAATTCAAGGCGTCCAGCACTGGGCGAAGCAAAAACGCCATTGAAAATTGCTGTCAGTATTTCTCTCCCGTATTGATACAGAATGTATTATATTTTCATCACTCAGCTTGTAGCTTCACAAACAACATCGAGAAAAATTATACTTGACACAACCTCTTGGGAACGAAGCTGCTCTAGGGTATGGCTAGTAGACTTGGCTTTAGCCTGGGGTACATGTACATACACATGTGCACCGATACGGCATGCATGACAAGGCACCGCACTTAACCGGCCCCTCATTGCGACGGGCAAAAAGCGGGCTAGTCCTAATGCGTGGTGCCTGACTCTGTGCATAGCCAATTAAAAATATTTCCTCGTCATCCGTATGGGTCAGCCCTGGTTCCTTGCTTGTTGCGACCCCCCAAGGTTTGTGACATCTGGACCCAGACCATGCCTTACCAACCCGATGCCGGGCATGACCTTTGACTGACGTCCTTCGCTGTCGTTCTCATCAAGGAATCCTCCCATCTACACCATCATCATCATCTTCTCCTCAATTCTCTTATCCCATCAGCCTTCCTTTCTGGCTTCTCAAACATCAAACACCCTAATTCTGAGTTCCTATTAATCTTTTCTCCTCCCTCCAGCCCCTCCTACCCGATCCACCCCCGGCACTTGTTGCTGGCGATGCCCCTCCAAACCTGAGAAACTTGAGCAACGTCATCATGGCCGCTTACGCCGACGAAAGATCCCCGCTGCTCGCGACGACGAATGACCAGGAAAATGAGACTGAAGCAGATGCACGAAATGAGTCGTCGCCTCTCTTAGGAAATCGAAGAGACTCTGCTACAGATGGCGACCACGAACACCACGACATCTCACCAGATTCTCCACATAAAGGCGAGGCGCCGCATCGGAAACGAAGATGGCCGTCTCTTATTGCCATGGTCATCTTGGCCTCGTTAGTTATAGTGGTTATGGTCCTCGGCTTTGTAGTGCCGCCGGCCGTCCAGCAGTACGTTGAGAGTGCAGTCGTGTTGGAGCCAACAGACCTGTCAATTGAATCGTTGACGGCGAATGGGGTTCGTGCTCGTGTAAAGGCCACGTTCCAACTTGACGGGTCAAGGGTCAAAGATGAGAATGCGCGTCGTGTTGGGAGACTTGCCACAGGAATTATGAGACAGCTTGGTACTGCCTCGACCAAACTGCGCGTGCATTTGCCTCACTACGGCAATGCCCTTGTCGGTACTGCCGACCTGCCGCCCATCACACTCAACCTTGTAGATGGCCAAGTCACAAACTTGGATTTTGTCACCGAAATTGCCCCCGGCGACACGGACACGATGCGAAAGGTGGTCAACGAGTGGCTCAAAGGAAACCTCGAGACACTGCAGGTTACGGGAGCCACTGCACTCAGCTTGAAATCGGGCATCTTCCCACTGGGAACCCATGATGTTTCAGAATCTATGGTATTTGAAGGTCAATCTCTCTACCGCGCCTTTGCTTCCCTGTATTTTGGTCAAAAGACCATTAAATAATGCCCAATATACTACTGATTCCATGCACTCTGGGCTAACCCTTTCGCAGCCAATGAGCTTCCGTCCATGCCCGAGTATACCATGCAGAGTCTCGTTTTCCATGACGTTCCCACTGGTGACAATGGCCAGATGGGAGTTGGCGCAAACGTATCCATGACAGCCTACAACGAATTTCCGATCGATTTAACCATCCCATCCCTTGGATTCGAAGTCCTTGTCCCAAACTGCAACTTGTCTCAGCCCAACATCAAGATTGCAACCGCCGCGACCAGTGCCATTGATGTGCACGCCAAGTCGAATGTTACTGTGGAAGCAGAGGGCATTATCCGGGAGCTCCCAGAGTCTCTCACCAAGGCATGCACCCCAAGTGAGTTTTCACCGCTGGACAACTTCATGAAGCTTTATCTGCATGGAGAGGATGCAGAGGTGTTTGTCCGCGGAAAAGCACCCGAGGGTGGTGACCTCCCGGGATGGATTGGCGAGTTCATTGAAAGCTTCACTGTTCCCGTGCAATTCCCGGGACGCTCATTGGATAACTTCCTACGCAACTTTTCACTTGACGACGTCGACTTTAAATTGCCCAGTCCATTTGCCGACCCAAGCGACGCGGACAGCAAACCACGGGTATCTGGCACGGTGCTGATCCTTGCTGCCATACCTACTGACCTGGACATTAACATTGAAGTGACCAGCCTTCGTGCCAACGGCGACCTCCTGTACAAGGGCACAAAGTTTGGAGAGCTGCACGTTGATGAATGGCAGAAAGCCACTTCCAACATGATTCACAGCCCTGGCGACGGAGAGGATTTACTCAAGGTCGTCTCGAGAATCGTCGACACTCCCATCGACATTACCGACAGCGACACATTCTCAAACATTATACAAGAACTTCTATTTGGCGACGAAGATATCATCCTCGACGTTAATTCCACCGTGGATGTCAAGGTGTCGACAGTCCTTGGCAACCTTGTCATAAGAAGGGTGCCCGCAGCGGGCAAAGTTCCCGTAAAACGTCCGTCATCCACATGGTAGATTGCGATCCAGGCGAGAGCACCATGTTTCCTTGCGTCCAGTTTTATGTCAAGCACATGAAAAGCGCTCGACTGTCCCCTGGCTAACGCGCTGCAGACGTGCCTGGGGACACGCTCGCGGCCTTGAACCCGCAGGTCGGGGAGGTGCATATCCTCAATACTTCTAGTACAGGCGTGCATATACAAGCATCAGTCACTGTTACGAACCCTACACCATACACAGCATCAATACCATATGTCAACATTCATATTCTTGAAGACAATTTGTTAATCGGCGAAGCTATTACGAAGAACTTGCATTTTAAACCTGGTGTGAATACAAACATTATAGTGGAGGCAACATGGGATCCTCCCTCGTTTGGCGGAAAGAAAGCCCACAAAGCAGCTCGTCGTCTGCTATCGGAGTACCTGTCGGGAGAGAATACAACGATTACGCTGCGGACACACAACGGCACAATTCCGACGGTGCCAATCATTGGCGAAGCACTGTCCACGATCAACTTGACGTTATCAACACCCCGGCTAGAACTGCCGGGTGATGAGGACACGGAAGGCCAAGGCTTTATTCGGGACGCCACGTTTCACATTCTTTCATCCACTGCAACATTTATGCTTGCCTCACCACTGCGCTACGACACAGTTTCTATAGAGTACATCAACGCTACAGCTTTTTACAATCACACTGAGCCGATTGGCCAAATTATACGCGACGAACCATTCGACGTTTCGCCGGGTGTCTCGCAAACTCCACGACTGCCAGTTGAATGGTCGGCGGACCATATGGGCCTTGATAAGCTTAAGAAAGCCCTAGGTGGGAAGTTGAAGTTGGATGCGGTGGCGGACGTTACGGTCAGGGTGGGATATTGGTTCGAGACGGTTCATTATGTAGGCAAGGCAATTGGTGCGAGGGTTTCTTTGTGAATGACTTGTGGGCGTTGGGTTGGGTTGGGATTAGGTACATGGCAACCTTTTGGTTTTAAGAATGGCGGTCTAACGGTTTTTTTTATTATACAGGATACACGGAGGGTTTGCTCTACATGCAGGCGTATGCGAATTTAAATACACTTAGTGCTACAATAATGGTACCATAAACTGTCCTCTTTTGAATGTCTCGCAGGGTTGCAACTAGATGAGGAGCGCAAGGGAAATGCAGCTCTTGATGAAGTCATCGCAGCTTGGGACTCCCCTCAACAGCCCGCTCAATCGACAAGCAATAATAAGAGCTACAAAGTTGCAGGCAAGCCCCGTCTTAGCCAGGGATGGGTCGAGAGTAACCTGCCGACATGTCTCAAGCTACAAAGTCACAAGCACTCTACACTCTACGAGCAACAGGCACATTGTGGCAAATGCATCACAACACCAAGATACATACCTCATCGTTCTAATCAGCACGTGTCAGCACGAACGCAAGCGCAAATTGAAGAAAGGAAAAAAAAAAAGGTAAGGGTATCAGCACCTTTTGGTATTCTATTTCTCTCTCCCCTGGATCCCCGTAGGATTTGCATTAAAAAAAAGAGAGAGGAAGTCGTGCCTGTTATACAATAAGTCAAAGTTCAGCCAAGTCGTACGCCTGCCTCCCGTCTCTTCTTCAGCTGCTGCGCCGTGGCGGCGCTCATGCCGCCGTCCCTGCCGGCGTCGAACAGACTCTGAGCCTCTCGTCTCTTCTCATCCTCAATCTTTTTGAGGCGCTTCTCCGTCTTGCCCTTTCCGCTGCCCTTTCCGTGGAACTGGTGACTCAGGTGCTTGAAGGCCTCCTTTTGGTCGAGCGACCGGCCGTGCTCGTCCGTGTACCTGAGCTCGACATTGGGCTTGTAGGTATCGGAAAACAGCTCCGCCATGCGCCGGGACTGCTGTTGGTCTCGCCACATGTTTTGCTGGCGGGCCCAGTCTTCGCGCTCGCGGACCGTCATGCGGTCTAGGCGTCCCGAGGCCCGGTCACGCTCGCGCTGCTGCCGCGTCTGCTCGTCGAGCTCTTCCTCGAGGATGCGTTTGCGGGCGAGGAACTCCTCTCGAGCGCGTAAGGCCTCGTAGTCGGAGTCGCGGGATTCCTCGATGAGCCCGCGCTCGCGGAGGAGGGAAAGGGCCACGCCCATGCCGGCGCCAATGGCCTTTTCTTCCTCGACGCCCGTTTCTTCTTCTGGTGCTTGGGGCGGCGCGGATTCCTCCTTGATTGCAGGTTGCTCTTCGTGCTCGCCATTCTCCATAGGGTGGTCCTCTGGCAGACCTGGACTTTGGGTTTGAGTTTTGTGCCGTCTTGGCTTCTTCTCTTCCTCGTCGTCTCGTTTGCTCAAGCCAGACACGAATTCTGAAATCTCTCCAATGACTAGGCCCGTGCTTTCGCCGGTGCCGTTTGTCTGCTGCTCTGCCTCGTCATCTTCCTCTTTGAGCTGCTTTGCAATGTCCTCCGGTCTAGCCTTCTTTCTCTTTTTCAGAGCGCTCTTTCTTTGCAGTGCTAATGAGGCCTGAAGGTCGTCATCGTCTACAAATGTATCCGCTTCAGCTTTTCGCTTCTTGCTGTTGCTCTCTTTGGTGTCCACATCCATGGCATTGCTGTCTTGTTGGGTTTCAAGAGGGAAAATATCGTCATCGTCGTATTGCTTTTGTCTCGTGCCCTTGGATTTCTTCTTCTTGGGCTTCTTTACTTTGATTTCTGAAGGGGCGAGGTAGTCGGAAGACATGGGCGCATCGCCAATAATGTCGTCAAGGCTGATGGTGGCTTTACCTGCCTTCGGGGCTGGCTGGCCAAGGATATCAGCGAGCTCTGCAATTGTCCCACTTCCGTCGAGCGTGAATTTCTTGCCCTTCTTTCCGTAAATCTCGTCGTCGTACTGAGCCAGGATTCCACCCTGACCTTCCTCGTCGTCATTAGGGTCGTATCCCGGTCTCCTCTTCTTGAGATCGAGCCTCTCGCCTAGCTTTTCCTGCTCACGCACCCCCAGATTCTCGAGCTCGTCGCCTTCTTCCTCATTCTCTTCAATCGTGGTATCTTTTAGCGTGAGAACCTGATCTTCCCCACCGAGGAAATCGGATGTCTCGTGTGCGACTTTGATACCAGCAAGATCCTTGGAAGTGTACTGAACAGCGGCAGCTGCTTCAGCTTCGGCTGCAGCAAGCTCTGCCTCTAGTTTTCTCGCCTTGTCAATCTTCTTTTGTCTCTTCTTCTGACCCATCAGCCATGCCTTGGCGTCGACATCGCCCTTCTTGGCGTCCTCCTCGCCGAGGCCCTTGCCTTCCATGACTGCGAAGCGCTGAGCTTCATCGCGAGCCTTTCGAATGGCGGCGGCTCTGTCTTCACGCTTCTTTTTTGCAGCCGCCGCCTCTTGGTGCTTCTTATAGTTTTCATACGACTCAGCTTGTCGACTTTCGAGCGTGCTTGCTGCCTCCTCGTCCTTGGATCTTGAAGATGGGTCGGATTGTATGGCAGCACCTGGGACGGGCAAAGGCTTCATGCCCAATGACACCCTGATGCGGTTGGTTTCTTCGATCGTGGCGGCGTCCATGGTATCAATTTTCTGATGCAGCTGTGTGAAAAACGAATTATAAGCGCAGCTGAACCGCAACAATCAACTTATGACAGTGGCGCAGAGCAACCATCTGATACAAAGCTACTCCGAACAAAGTTCAAGGTCTGACAATTCGAGGGATCTGGGTCCGGGACATCAAACTCACAGAAGCCGGCCTACCAATGTGTTCTACCTTCCACGTGACCGGACCCACAAAAAAGTTCCCAAGCACCTTTATCAAGGCCCAAAATTTCTTTGCTTCACATCTTTTTCTTCTTCTTCTCAACCACGGATCTGTGCCCGGCAGTCCCTTGCTTCTACGGGAGTCCAAGGTTGATTGCTGTGCAGCTCGATAACCCTACGGAGCCATCAACTTGTTATGGTGTCAATGTCCTATCGACAGGTCCAAGAAAGACTACCGCTGCGCTGTTCGGTTGTCGAAAGACTACCTGAGCCGCGTGGTTGCCAAAGGCTTTATATTCCACCCCTCTTTTCCGAGACCGTCGGTCGGTGAGGTTGAGGCAAACCATATCGCCTACATTCTTTGTGCATGTTTCTGCTGGGTGAGAAGTTTTTTGCGGCCTGGAGGTGCACACGTTGGTTTGAGGATCCGTCTGCTTCGAACCCGCCGAGAGTATCACACATGCTCTTTTGCCAGCGCCTTTGTCGCATCGAATCCCGAAGACCTTTCTCGCCAGTCTCGTCGTAGATAATGTTGCAGTTGTAATTTTCTTCGTGCTAAGCCCTAATGAAGTACTCGCAAATACTCCCTGCACGTGTGCTTAGCAAAATAATGCCAAGCAATCAATCCCCAGGGTGAACACGTCTGACAAGGCCCTGAGATTTCTCGTAAAGCCTATATTGCACTAAAAGCGTATCATTCCATGTGCCCCGAATTCGACAGGCGCACGCCCATCCTGGCCCTTCTGGTGTGAATTGCTCGGCGGGCTCACTCTTTTTGCTAGGTGCGGCTCACGTTCTGCGAGACAAGGGCTGTCAAACAGCAGGCATGTTACTCCGTAGTAGCTTACCAGAATCACATACTTGAGACCTCGAACATACAACTCCAGCTCCCAACTGTACAGATATCAGAGCTAATCGAGTTTCTACACGGCTTCTGCTACGCTGTGACCCGTGTGAGCAAAATCTATACTTTTATTTTACAACAAACCAAGAGCCGGACAAGGTTGGCTACGTTTGGAATACTTGAACATAACAATACCATTCTAGAATGGCGAAATATATTTCATCTATCCCCATGACTATGCCCCCAATCGCATTTTGCCACATTGACTGAAATTTTCAAGCGCACCTTCCACTTGTCCAGGCAATCCACTCATAATAGCTACTACCGAATGCCAACCACATATTATTCAATCTTACTAAGGAGTAGCCTTGCTCATGCTAATGAGACGCTTGACACCGACCTATCAACAGTTAGTACACACTCCATGATGTTCTGCTACTAGGCATACATACCATCCAGTTGCCGCACTCTTCAGTTTTGTCTCTCTGAATCTCAACTTGCAGCTTCTGCGCCGCGGCATAGTCCTTTGCTTGAATAGAGTCTGCCAATTGTGTGAGCTGGTCAATAGTGGCCGGCTGAACGAGCTCTTCGTTGTTGAGATGATCAAATAACAGATTCAGTCGCTTTTGCGTGTCGTTGACCTGGGCAGCAAAGGTGGCAGGCGCCTTGGCCGCAACGCGCTGCATGTCTTGGCTCAGGACGTCAACTAAACGCTGAGCATGAGCCGGGATGTGCGAACGGTCGCCGGCGGGATGCTTGGCCTTTGCTGGAGGCGCGGCGGCCTTGGGAGGCGGCGGTGTAGCCTGTGGGAGGTTGGAAGGCGGTGGTCCAGACGGAGGACGACCGGCAGGAGGAGGACCAGCTGCCTGACCTTGCTGGGGAGCGTATGGCGATGGAGCATACTGGCCTGGCGAAGGTGTCTGTTGAGGAGGCGCTCCGTAGGGGTTTGCTGGAGGTGGTGGTCGGCTGCCGGCGGTGGGAGGGGGAGGCATGGCCGACGTAGGAGGCTGGTTGGGTCGCTGAGCAGCCGGGCTGGGAGCATATCTGTTTGATGGAGGTGCGCCAGCTGGGGGAGCATTATAAGGAGATGCTGTTCGAGGGACAACCTGGGGAACTGGCGACGGAACGGCACCGGGCTGTGGTGCAGGAGGTGCGTACTGGTTGGCGGTTGATGACGGCCTGGGAGGAGGGATGCCATGAGTTTGCCCCGTCAGCGGCGACTGCACTCGAGGAGGAGCCGCACCCCTAGGAGGAGGTGGTACCGCTGATGTTGCATGTCCGTAACCACCAGGCGGAGGAGGTCCAGTCGGGGGCGCACTCGAGCCTGCAGTTGGACTTGTCGATCCAGGGAAGGGCGAAGTGATGGGAGCAACGGGTGTAGATCTCCTAGGCACGGCCTTGGTCACCAGAGGGACGTCATTCCAGTTCTCCGCGCTTTTAGCTCTGTTGGGAGGGGGAGCAGAGGGCGTGGACGAAGAACTTCGAGGAGGGCCGCCTGCCATAGGTGGTGGAGGCATCATACCTCCCCCATAAGCGGGCTGAGTAGTAGGCTGGTATCCCATAGAAGGTTGATAACCCTGAGGTTGATACTGATTTTGTGGCGGATACTGCTGTGTCTGAGTGACGGGAGCGTGCGGCTGACCAAGGCCGCCATAAGGGTTCGCAGACGACCCGGTCGTAGCTGGCTGAGGTGTACCATAACCAAGGGTAGGCTGCTGCACCCTGCTTGCCGTGCTGGACGTGGCCTGTCTGGTGGTGGTTTGGCGCGTCGCAGCTTGCGCAGCAGGCTTCTTGGTCGCCAGCTTGACACGGTTTCTAGCAATTTCAGCGGCAGGGTAGCTGGATGGCAAGAGATCGAGATACTTCTGCGCAACTTCCAGCTGGCCATGGCTGGCGAGAATATCAGCATACTCAGTGTACTTGTCGTACAAGGTTGCCAACTTCCAGTCAGAAGTCTGGCTTTGTTCGCTGTCCTGGAATTTGGTGACCTGTCGGAATACAGTCACCTTTTCAATGAAGTTCTGTAGGGATTTTGCGTGGACAGAGAAAGTCGAGCCACCAGTAGCCTCCTTCATACCGGCCTTTTCAGCTTCCTCGAGTTCAGCGACCCAGATGGACACAACCTTTTCCAGCTTTGAGCCGACAAGATAGCAAAAAGATGCATCCTTTCTCGAGCCGCCATCCTGGATTCGGTCGCCCAGAGCTTCGCAAAGGTCAGGGAACTCGGTCGGATCTGAAAAGGTGCAGATAATTGCCATGGTTTCTTTCCAGTTCTCAAGGTCGGCGTTATAAACTACATCCCAGAGATTCTTCGCAATGACAGATCCCAATAGACGCAGGTAGCTAGGCATGCCGCTCTTTTGGGAAAGGTAAGCGGTCTGGACCTTGTCGACGAGCTCCTGGCCACCGCAGTTGGCAATCAAGAAGGCGTCTGCAATTCGCTGCTCCTTGAGACAGATGTCGGTGGCTTTGGCAAAGTCACCCAACATCAACGCTTTGGTGATATCCTTTTCAACAGAAGTGTCACCATCAGAGAACAGGTGGAACGGGTTGTCAGTCTTGGCTCCCTTGGTAGCTGCAACACTCGACAGGAAATCATCACCCTCATCTCCACCAAAGAAATCGGAAACTTCCTTGCTCTTTTGCTCGCCCTCTTCGTCAGCCTTGGAATCAGTCTTTTTCTCATCGGCGTCGGCGTCAGCCTTTGATTCACCATTGACAAGCTCATTCTCCTGGAGACCAAGATATTCAACAATCTGTCCTCGAGGGTTGTCTCCAGCAAGCGTCTCGATTACTTTCCAGTCAGCCTTCTCTTCCTCGGTGTGAGCCTGCGAAGCACGCTCTTCGCAAATAGCGGCAACATCGCCGGATTCGAGTGCGGTCTGGAACTTTGCGCTTGCGTCAGAGACATCAGCATCAGCAGAGAACTTGGCAATGACAATCTTGGAGGAACGCTTCTGTCCAGGCTGCGATGGGTTGGCCTTGAAGATGACAATCTTTCCGCCAAACGCAAACGTAGCACCAACGGGGCGTTCGAACCAGTTGGGTGCCTTATTGAGAGACCAAGATGCGCCCTGTGGCTGCGTCTGGGCGGCTCGGAAGAATTCCTCGCCATCCAAGTTCTTCTCCGCTGGGGTCTGGGATGTGTCTGGGTTGGTGTTCTGCAGGGTCTGGATGGTGATCTTGCCGTCGAAGCTGGCCGTGGCAGACAGGTTGGGGTTGTGAGGATTGAACCGAGTCTGGAAAGTCCAGTTTGTCATCTCGGGCAGCTCGCCGTACTTGTCGCCCGTTTGAGGATTCCAGACTAGCGTGCGGTTATCTTTACCAGAAGACAGAAGCAAGTCGCTGTCTTGGCTGCACCATGAAAGCGACAGAATGCCCTGTTCGTGGCCCTGAAGAGTCCTCTCGGGGGCATTGGAGTTGCGCAAGTCCCACAACAGCAAGACTGGCGTATTGTCATCGGGGGTGGCTGTCAGGAGCTTGGTGGAGTTGTTCGGATCCCAAGCAATGGCGCTTACGGCCTTTCGGTTGTTGTTGAGAGTGAGTGAAGCCTTCTTCGTCTTCAGATCCCATACCGTTACAAAACCTCCGGCCCCGCCAGTGGCCAAGATGTGTGACACTTTTCGGTTCCAAGCCAGGCATTCAATATCGTCAGATCGAGCAGCAACGTTGCCCAGTCTGAAGGGGTTCTCAATGTCGTTGACATCGAATATGTACAGCTCGCCCTTGGCTCCGCCGGTAGCCAGAATGTGTGGTTTTAGAGGATTGAACTGCAGTGCCTTGATGGCACCAGTGTGCTTGTTGGTCTGTGAGATGAGCGCATCAGGAGCACCAGCCTCAAGCTTCGCGGCGTCCCAGAGCTCGAGGGAACCATTCTCGAGTGCGCCGGCAATGATACCCTTTGGATGGTCGGAATCCGCAGATCCCCAGGCAATGTCATAAAATCTAGCACATTTGTTTGTCAGTTTAGCACATCCCTCTGTTGAAAACTATCGCGTCATACCTAGACTCGGTGGTGATGCTGGCTAATGGCTGGAGCTCCAACCCTTGCAGTTGATCATCCAGGGAAAGATCCCATAGCTCTAATTTGCTTTCATCTGAGAAATCGGCGTCCACCGCACCGGCACGAGTACCAGTCACCAGGAGAGGCTTTCCTGAGCCCGGAGACCAGGCAAAGGTAGCCGTTCGTGGCACTTCTCGAAGGCGCACCATGGTGGCGGGGGATAAACACGACCAAAGAGAGCCAAGACGAGGCCCGGCGATGCGAATCGAATTTCAACTTCCTATAGCTTAAATGCCAAGCCTATGAGTTTCGAATTAGACATGTAGGGCCGGAGAACCTGTTGCAGGAGATAAATACCAGAGTGAGGAATTGGGAGCTGGCGCAATGGCATGTAAGTCACGAATATGATGCCAGATTGCAGGCTCGACGATTATATGGGACCCTCCTGAGCTCCCAACGAGGGACACGTCCGTGCCTCCCTGGATTGAGACGCCAGGATAACAGGGGTAGTGTGGAAAGTCACGTGATAATTTGGGTGTATGCAGGACAGCCTCAGTTAGCAGGCCAATAAGAGCTTGAGCATCAAAGCTACTTCATCAGGCTACATAATTTCTTTTAAAAAGACGGCCTGAAAAGAAGAGGGCCTAAGCCATTTTGTGTTGTTCCGATACCGTGTCAACATGTCGGAGGCTGCTCGCTGGAAAGCCACGGTGTTTGTGGGCGGTCTGTCATCTGTCGTGACCACAACTCACTTACTCGATGCTTTTATTCCATTTGGAGAAATCGTTGAAGTGCAGCTACCCAAGCCCGACTCACGAAAGTCAACGGATGCTCACCGTGGCTTTGCATACGTTGAATACGAGGACCCAGAAGATGCCAAAGAAGCCATCGATAATATGGACCAGTCAGAGTTCTTTGGCAAAATCTTAAAAGTATCCCAAGCAAAAGCCCCCAAGAGCGCGGATGAAGGCCTAGGCAGCAGGAAAGCCGTCTGGGAACAGGTTCGTCACCCGCCTCCAGACTCACTCCACAGAAAAGATACCCATGTTAACACTTTGCAAATAGGAAGGTTGGTTGGCGGAGCATGCCGCGGAAGAACAATCTGGAGCTTTGGGAGGTGATGAACCAGCTGCCAATAGTTCTGCAGCCGATCCTATGCAAGGGCTGGAAGGGTTGGATGTAGCTGGGCCGAAACCAGTGTGAGGATTTATCACGGCTATTCCAGTTGTCACATTGTTTTATTAAAGGGAGGATAATTGCATAGCGATGGTGTTTTACGGAAAGGGTGAATGTAGTATCTCAAGAAAATCGGTACTCTATTCTGAACAACAGGGAGACACAAAGTGAAGAAAATGAAGAGCTCTCAAGGCAGGTCTCAATTAAAGAGCTGTTTTTTCCCTATGTTGACATGTACAAATGTTTTGCCATTCGCAAACAAAATGAAATCCTCCGGCCCTATTTGTCCGGCAACATTTTAGTGATGCTCATCTTGGTGATCAACAGCACGGCCTCCAGGTCCCTGTCTGGCGAGTCGGAGGTTCTTGTCGACCATGAATTTTCGAACACTAGAGTAACCAGCAGCAAAGATGGCGAAACCAACAACGGCGGCTAACGTCATCGATTAGATTAACAAGTTATGTGTGTAGGTACATGCCGACCGAGGTATTCACGTACCGAGAGGAATTAACTCAGCGGGAATCTGCTTGAGCTTGCGCAGCCGTTGGGAGACGGTGTGGCCTTGGAATCAATTAGCATGCTGCGGAGCATCATGACGAAGATTCGTTCAAAGAGCTTCCAGTCAGCTAGAACGGAGTCGTTCGGCACGTACCGGCCTGGTCTTCCTTCTGTAAAATCACCATCGTTAGCTCCATCTCAGGCAGTGCTCATTCACGGCAGACTCACGGGAACCGGTCGCATCATGCGGGCCGTGGGGCGGAACATTCGGAGGGCGGCGGTGGTACGCATCTTGAAGAGAGGAGATTGGTCTGTATAGAAGCGGACGTGGTGTGAAGCAATTGACAAAATTGTCGTTCTTTGGGTGGTGATTCAGAGGTTGCCGAGCATCTGGTGTTGCAATTGCCCATCGGCCCACTGGTCGGTTGTGGTTGCCTTACCCCATTGGTTGGCGGGCCTGAGGCACAAATTGAGCCACCAATACCGGAACATCTGATTCCAAACCGAGAACGTCAACCGCATCAATCTCACCACAAGTGCTCGAGTTCAATCGCCCACCCCCGCGTCAAACTTGCCCTGTCCTTGGAAGCATCAATCGAAACAAGTCGCCATGGCTGAAGAAGATGGTCAGGAGCTTGTCACCAAGCCCTTCAAGTTCGTTACTAGTATGTGCCGATAATCCCTCCCCTAAAAATCATGGTCTGATCCTGACCCGAGGCTAACAATTCCGCAGCCGGTAAGCTCCAACCCGACGAAAACCTCGTGCGCGACTCGGCGAACAGTTCAATTGTGTCGAATTCTGCGTCCGAATACTGACACGAAATTTCCTTATAGGCACCGACGCTCGCTTTCCTAACGTGAACCAGACCAAGCACTGCTGGCAGAACTACGTCGACTACCACAAGTGCATCATTGCCAAGGGGGAGGACTTTGCTCCTTGCCGTCAGGTACGGCAGTAGAATTGACGGTGGTGCGAATTCTAGAGCACAGAGTTTACTAACTATGCGGTAGTTTTGGCTGGCTTACCGAAGCTTGTGCCCCTCTGGATGGTATCAGCGATGGGATGAGCAGCGAGGTGAGTGTTGTCACAACCATGCCAAGGTTTCCACAAGGCTAATGAATTTGTCCACAGAGGCTTCCAACTTCCCCGTCAAGCTGGACGCGTAAGTTTTCATCAGTGGCGGTGTAAATGATAATTGGTGTTGATAGAGGATGGAGTAGCAGCTATGCTGCAAGTGTATTACTCGGGAAACTCGGTTCTACAGCCGTGATTACGGTGACGTCAATTGAGAAACAGCCTTTTGGACACGTTTGATGTGTTGCACAAGTGATGGTCGTGACGTTAAAAACCCTTAAACCCTTTGTATTGAGTCAATTTTTGACTTTGTGAATGTCGCCCCGAGAAAATACCAATGCCCCCCGCCTGATTTCGGGGCAGAAAACGCCGTGATTCCCCAAAATGAATAAAACTCCATTGCTGAATATCCCTCTTGTAGATTCCACCTCATGATTACCCTGTCCATCATTATTCCTTGCTTTGAGCCTCCTCCTCGTCGGATGAACTCATAAATTCATCGTCCTCGTCAAAACCAAAAAAAGTTCGAGCCGGCGTCTTTGCTGGCTCATCTGCCTCGTCGGATGAAGACGACTCTTTTGAGTTTGACTTTGCGTCGTCTTCAGAATTTGATAGCGCCTCCGGTTGCTCACTTGACGCTGAGCCATGCGAGGTGCTGAGAAGGTTGTCTCTATAGCTGCCACTCTTCATCGCGGCGAGGACTGCGTCGCGTGTCTTCTCCCTGCTCTCCTCCTTGTCTTCAACCCACTTTCCCTCGAGTCGACCTTGGCCGCCATTTCTGATTTGGTGTTGTTTCTCTTCAGAAATCTGGACGATTTGTTCCCAGCGCTCCTTTCGCTTTTCTTTTTCCTGGCGATCCATGTCAGGTTTGATGGACAGGTATTCTGCAAGAGCCTTTGCTTCGTTGACAGTACGAAGTCTGCGGCCGTCAAGGTTGCGGCTAGATCCGTGGTCTTCTTGGTTCTTCTTCTTTCGTGATGACATGCGCCCACCGGCGGCGCGTAGCTGAGAGCCGAAACCACCCTTGCCACCGCATAAGGGAACAGCCAGTCGCAAGGACAGAAACTCATCCTGGCTGCTGGATAGATATACAGAGATGGGCGCCTGGGAGACTTCTGGTAGTTGTCTATTTGAGATGGTTGTAATGATGAGTCTGGAGTCTGTGGTTGGGAGGCGCTCATAGATTTCCTCGCGGAGTTCTGTAATTGTTGTTGAAGGTGGGACCGGAACCACCAGAGTAGATGGAAGTCCAAGACCACCAAATGTGGTTATGAGGACGTTGAGATTTTGAGGAGCCATTGTGATTTGATGTGAGAAATCGTCTCCTGAACTGAAATTTTCTTGAGAAATGGATTTGCGATGGGGGAGAGGACGGATAGTTTGGCGTCTCTCGTTGACGCATACGACCTTCTCTTTTGTGTTGGGGTGGCCAAGGTTTAAACACCAGCCACAGCTTTAAGAATAGTATCTTATCTCACGTGATGCAGCCACAGCACACAAGGTCACAAGCCACCCCACTCGCTAGGTTCGAATTTCTCGTAGGGTTTACGCCCACAAAAGTTATCCATTTTGAGCCCAGGCATCTTCACACCGAAATTCTGCGCTTCTTCAACATCGACCTCACCAAGAAACCGCCACGATGTTGATTCCCAAGGCCGACCGCAAGAAGATCCACGAGGTAAATTGAACCGACAGACTGCCAGAACCCAGCGAAACCTACGCAGGCGCTCAAAGAGATTGCATGTGTAACTGACAAAATATCCGATGACCAGTACCTCTTTCGCGAGGGTGTCCTCGTGGCCCAGAAGGACTTCAACCTTCCCAAGCACCCCGACATCGACACCAAGAACCTGTTCGTCATCAAGGCTTGCCAGTCTCTCAACTCCCGCGGCTATGTCAAGACCCAGTTCTCTTGGCAGTACTACTACTACACCTTGACCCCCGAGGGCCTCGACTACCTGCGCGAATGGCTTCACCTGCCCGCCGAGATTGTGCCCGCCACCCACATCAAGCAGCAGCGATCGCACGCCCCTCCCCGCGGCATGCTCGGTGAGGAAGAGCGCCAGCGACGACCATTCGGCCGTGGCCGTGGCGGTGACCGTGGTGACCGTGAGGGTGGATACCGACGACGTGATGCTGGTGAGGGCAAGGAGGGCGGTGCTCCTGGTGAATTCGCTCCTCAATTGTGAGTCCCTACTTGTACCCAATCGAGAACGAGTCTCCCCGCGGCGACTATGGAGATGAGCCGGCGGTCGATTTGCCATCAAAATTCGTGTACTAACGTGGAAATACTAGCCGTGGTGGTGCCGGTCGTGGCCGAGCTGCTCCCCCCTCTTAAACGAACCGAGTTTATTTAAAGTAAAACAAAAGAGGTTTTCGAGATGCGTGGCAGCACACAAAGACAAAAACGGGAATAAGGGTATCGAAAACATGTAACTCTACGAAATGGAGGACCACACAACACTTCTTACCATGAGAGTTCCTATTTTTTCGGGAGACTACCGGGCTGAGTAGGGGACACACGGTGGGAGTTTTTGGAGGGGTTAGATCCTCGGAAATTATTTGCATCAGGGTCACTTATATGCAGTCAATGAGACAAATGCTTGCGACATACATTGATGATTTATCTCTATATCGTGACTGGGGCCAACTACGTGCACAAAAGCGTAGTTGCTGCATTTCAATGGGTAGCATGACGCAATTTTGTCCTGATGGCCCATGGGGAAGCGGAGGGAGAGTATCATTGATAATAAGCAACCCTTGGGTCTGTGGAAAGTAACACGTATCCCCGGTAAGCCTACGAAACTAAAAAGGTCACATACTATACGATACGTGCAGCAATGTTCCTCTTACTGCAGTCGTGACGCCATTGCGATGCCTCGTCCACATAATGACCTGCTCAAACTACTCTGTACACATCGGATGTCTCTCACCTCTCCCCCGGGCGGCACGTTCCTCAACACATTGGCTAAGAAACGACCAGACCTTTACGGCACGCCATTGGGCTAGGATAGATCTTCACCGGGAAAGTGGCAGCTCGCAAATTTCCCAACTCCGTACGGAGTCCCATCTGTAGCCCGAGCAGCGGGGACATGGGATTCCTCACAAAATGTCAGTGCTGTCCACCGGGCTACAACATCCACGACGGCCGATGGTTGGCAATGCTCCGTACACATCTAGTGGTGAGATAAAAAAAACATCCTTGTATCGTCTAGATTCTTCACGCAACACAAGACAAGCATCTCGGCGTCACATGACGCGTCAAATGGCGGTGTCTCCTGCACAACTGCAAGCCACAGCAAGCAGTGATAGGTCACCAACCTTTTCACAATGGCAGGCTGTATTGTCTGATGCCTGCGTCCATCAACTCCAACGGACCTCCCCAGCTGCGGATGCGGGACGATTCACCCGCGAGCAAAACAAAACATGGCGGTGGGTGCTCAGCTGTCAATGGGAACGGGAGAAGATTGAACAAGGCGGGCGGCAAGATATTGGATGAGCGTCCGGCCCCGCCGTTGGACTTGCTGCATCACCATAATAGGTCAATATAAGACGTCTGTGTCTGTGCCTTGAGCAGATCGCCGCGTCTACTAGGGGGGCGAGGCGCCGACCGGCTGGCGTTGCGTCTGGTGTTTTCCGCCTTGTGCTGTCCGATGCATGGTGGCCCGAAATCCGGCGACGCAACCACCAGACCTCAGCTCATCCTGAGTCCTGACGCCTCACCCCGAGCACGGAGTTTTTCCACGCGAAGCTGGGCTGACAGTAAGCGCAATGTACAATGTAATCAAAGGGTGTATTCCGCATAAAATTCAGCATTGTTGACAGACGGACAACAAGAAAGAAGGGACCCATTGCTTCGTCCCAAATCTGCACATGCGCAGCATCAGATGTTGAGTCTCGGCAGATGGGCGAGAGGAGCTAAAGCATCGGTGGCCAGCAATCCGGCAGGGGTCACAGCCGCCCCGGCCAGGGGATAAGACCAAGAGGTGCCAGCCGGGACCGATGAGTGACATTTGAAATTCAATGGGCGTTCATGTTGCTCCGAGGAGCAGCGCAGGAGGGGGAAAAGGTCGCCAAGGGTCGCTTCTGACGCCCACGCCGGTGTGTTCAATGGTCTTGCTTGTTGCTGCGGCGGAATAAAATGCTCGGAGGGCCGCCTCGTCTCCGGGCACGAATCTCCTTTTTGGTTCTCAAGCTCCTGATTCCTCTTTTTGCTTGAATTTGGTCGTATTAGACAACCTATTTTATATCTCTCCCGTATGTTAGCTATTGCATATCTTTGGTGGAAGTGCGTGTTGTTTTTACCTTGGCTAATGGTTGTACCATCGTGGCAGCTTCCAAGGACTGCTGTGACTCCAAGCTCGCAGGGCGAAAACGTCGTACACGCCGACCACACAAAATCAAAATATACAGAAAAACAAGACATAATTCAAAATGGCAAACCTTCCCAAGGAGATGAAGGCTCTCAGGTACGTTCTTTATATATTTACCGTCGTGGGCCTGTTCTAGCCATCAGGGTGCCTTTGAGCCAGAATGCCGACGGCCCGGTCCATATGCTTTTGCTTTCCCACCCTTCCATTACAAGTACTGACCATAGCCCTGCTCAGATATGAAAAGCCCGAAGATTGGTCCATTGTCACGGTCCCGCTCCCAGAGCTGCGCGACAGCGATGTCCTCGTGCAGGTCAAGGCCTGTGGTGTCTGCGGAACTGGTCAGTCTTCCAGCCTACCCTGTGCTTCATTCTTCGGCCAACAAGCTAACAAACGGCGCAGATTTGGTGACACGCTCTTGTTCTTTGCCACTCCGGAGAGCCAGTCATATTGACTGGCGTTTGTAGCACATCCACGAGGGCGAGTTTATCGCCAAGTTCCCCCTCATTCCCGGCCACGAAACCGTTGGTGTCATCGCCGCGCTTGGCAAGGTAGGAACTTGTACGGAATACGCACCCAGGCTGACCTGTGTTGACGACATGCCCAGAACGTCAAGGGATTCCAGATTGGCGACCGAGTCGCTGCCGACAACAGCGAACTCTGCAACGAGTGCTTCTACTGCCGCCGTGGCCAGCTGCTGCTCTGCGAGAATGTATAGGCAACCTTGGACCTCCCCGTCTCTTCTGTTACTGATACGCATAGTTCAACGCCCATGGCGTCACCATGAATGGCGGCTTTGCCGAATACTGCGCATATCCCGCCGCCAAGGTGTTCAAGATTCAGAACCTCAACTGGGTGGACGCCACCCTGCTCGAGCCCGCTTCCTGTGCCTGCCATGGCTTGGAGAAGATCCGTCCCAAGCTGGGTTCTCACGTTCTCATGTTTGGCGCCGGGCCTACTGGTCTCGTGAGTGCTTTGCTGGAGGGGGGGAACGTCTTTTAAGGAACCGGACGGGGCTTGCTGACTTGATGTTGTTGCAGATGCTCGCCCAGCTTTTGAGGCAGAATGGAGGCTGCCAGGTGACCATTGCTGCGCCCAAGGGCTTGAAGATGGACCTGGCCAAGAGCCTTGATGCTGCGGATACGTATATTGAGTTGTCGAGAGAGAGCCCCCAGGCCCAGTTTGACCAGCTCAAGAAGGACAACCCCTATGGCTTTGACATTGGTGCGCATCTCGGCCCGCCCGTTTTGCTTTCATGGCGCTGACAGAGCTTGCAGTTGTCGAGGCTACTGGTTCCGTCAAGATTCTGGAAGACGCCATCAACTACGTTCGCCGTGGTGGCACCCTCGTCGTCTACGGGTAGGTTTGACGGCCTCGATTCACACGCCCACATTGCAAAATGCCTAATGTATCGATGATGATAGTGTCTACGCCAACGCCGACCGGGTCAGTTGGCCCCCTGCCAAGATCTTTGGTGACGAAATCACCATTATTGGGTCCTTTTCCGAGACGTACATGTTCCGTAAGTCCAGTCCCTGCCGCCGGCAGTTTGCATACGTTGCGACTAATGTAGTATTGTGTTGCAGCCGCCACCATTGACTACCTCGACTCTGGAAAGGTCAAGACCAAGGGCATTGTCAACAAGACCTTCAAGCTGGAGGACTTTGACAAGGCTCTTCAGAGCATCAAGGACAAGACTGCCATCAAGGCTGCCATCGTATTCGAGTAGCTTTTGTTTCCTAGGGTTGTAGAGAAAGAAAACAAAGACTAGACATATACAGTAGACATTCTGATATAAATACAGTCACATGCTTACCACTTTGCAAGAAATGACAGAAAAAAACTTCACGGGGCACAGAGTGGCTTTGTACATAAATGTATGCTGCATACGGAGTGCTACTCTGTAATATCGGTGGGATAATTGCATCGTGGCTGAGCTATCGGCAAGATGTGGTTTGTACAAGGTCACATCAGGTGCCCGGTAAGACGAGGGATTATGCGAGACATGCCGAGTGATATTGTGGCATTGACGACGTCTGTTTGGGGGAGTTGGCGAGCCGGGATGTTTCAGGTAAGGCTTTGTGTGACGGCATGCGACTAGGTTGGCTTTTTTTATGGAGATTTCTTCGAGTGGGGTTTGCCGTGACGGAGTGCTCAAATGCAGGATGTGATGTGATGGGATGTCCTTTTTGGGCTTGTTGGCGAGTAATTGAACCGCCGTGAAGGCTGTGACCATGTATCGCAAGTACTATCGCCCGGGGGGGAAATATGGGCTGCCATGCGCCTATTAACTGCGCTTTAATACTACCGGCTATAAACTGGCAGCTAATGCAACGCAATGAGCAATGCATGCTTGGTTGATAAGGTGAGCCGTACTGAATATGCTGCCAAGGCTGTCCACCGCTAACAGAGCTTGACGCGTCCCCCAAATCCAGCCATCGTGGCGGTGACAAATGTGGTGTTTGGAACGGGAGCCGTCGGAAAATTGGTACGTGGAGATGGGAAAGACGAGCTGCCACATACCCACGGAGCACAGATTACCGGGTCGTGGCATTCAAGTCAAGGGGAGAAAAAAAACTGTCGCGTGCCTGTGGATGGGATTGGCAGTTGGACATGAACAAAGTTTGCTTGTTGACCTCGATACGAGGACGAAAATGGAATCAGTGCCTGCGCTAACCGGACCAGTTGGCGTCTGGGAACATTGAAAGCTTCATGTTTCGATGGGACAAAACTGGCTGCTGTGGGACCTCGTCGCAAGCACCCGGGGCGCCAGTTGACTGAACAGGGTGCCGTCTCCAACCAGACAACTGGGCCAGTGGACCATCAATGCAGCATAGCATGTTGGCTGTTGCCCGCCCCTGCCGGCATCGCCCAAGACGTCCTCCCTGGAGTCAAGTGTCAAGTGGTGGCGGCTCAGGCTCGCCGGACGCATCGACGCCATCCTCCAGGTACCTACTACAAATAGTACCCCATGCTCTCGTCTGTTCAAATGCCGCCAAAGACGAGCCACCGTCGTTGATGCCCGCTTGGCATGCTATCCATGCGCATTTGACCCAAGACGACTGCAACAAACAAACCAGCCGAATCAACCAACGCCCCGACTGAGTGTCTCACAGCGCCGAGGCCAAGATGCCACAACCAGGCCTCGTTGTTTCGCCGCGATAATCGTCGTACTTGCCTCACAGTCCGTCTAGATCCCCTTTGATGTGCAGAGCACCAGTCAAATGCAGAAGCCGCTTTCCCTATTGAACAAGGGAGCTACCTAAAAGCTCCCCAGCCCGTGTCTTTTGGGGAGGAGAAAAAAAAAACTGGGAGAGCCATGGCTTCCCCTTCTCGTAGTCGTTCTCGACCGCCTCGCCACGACCTCGTCACTCGAATTCACGCCGATGCTCTCGAGACACCCACCATACTTCTCGGATCCATCGACATATCCAACAGCCAAGCACAAGAAGACTCGAGCTCTTCGGAATCTGATTTTCAGCGCACCAAGCCAAGCAGGTTGCCTCCTCGCCATGCACGCTCCTTGAGCAACCCGTTTCCTTCGTTTCTCGGTGCTGCAAAGAAGAGACAAGGCTCGACGAGCCAGCCGCAAGCTGATTCGGACAGGGGAGATGTTGACAACGCCATGGCTGGACCAGACGTTGGCAATAGGCACAGGCGGGGTGGTCCTCTGGGTAGCAAGGACTTTGCAACGGGAAATTGTATGACGTGCGCATCTTTGATGCGGTGGCCCAAGGAATTGAAAGTTTTCAAGTGTACTATCTGCACGACGATTAATGACTTGGCCGCTCCGGGGAGCGAGGCTCTGAAGCCTGGGATTCTCGGAAGACGGCGTGATGGGAATGCCCATGCGTCATCTGATAACTCAACTTGTATGTGGCCCTCTCTATTATATTGCGATTAGAAAGTCTGACAAACTTTATTTTTTTCGCCCTTTATTTAATAGCCCAACCAATTTCCTTACGACACTGTCAACGACTTGTGAGACAGTGTATTCATTCCTATATTTCTATGAAATTGGTGCCGAAACCAGCGCCGGAGCACGCAGGCTGGCGCTCTCCTACTGCATCTCAAAGCAGCATCCCAAGATCAGATGCTCACAGAAATCAGCAGGACCACCCCCATGGACGACCAAGGGGCGCCTCCTATGGAGAAGACCATGACGGCTATAATCCCAAATATGTCTTTGAGGAGCAGCCTACCTTGCGGCCCAGTCCACTACGGCCAAATGCCGCCCTCAGGTCATATTCGTCTTCACATTCCGAATGGCCTCCTCCCCCCGGGCAGCCACCCCTGAATCCGAGTCCAATGGCACGCCGCAGGGCATCGTCGATGAACGGCCCCTGCGAACCAAAGAGGATATTTAAACCCCTTGAGGAATACATTGCGAAAGCGTTTGGTTCATTTGACTGTGTAAACTCGTCATTTTCAACAGAGAACAGGGGGCGGGAGCGCCAACAAGGCGACCAAATTCGGCGGAAACCACTGCCGTCGCGTGGAAGATCACTCTCACAATCTGCTGACGCTGTTCCTCGGGGGGAATCTCAACCAGGCATTGTCATGGATGAGCTGGACCCGAAGCTGCTCCTCCTGGGCGACTTTGCAGAGAATGGCTCCTGGTGGACGGGGGGCCGTAGACAGACAGGGCCCACGAAACAAACTTCTACCCGCCGACCTGAAAGCCCCCCCAAGAAACCAGTCACAATCAAGAGCCCGAACCTGAACTGGGATGAGCTTGACAGTTGGTATTCTTCAACCATTAATGCTGCCGAGGACTGGTTCTCTGTGTATGAAGATGTTTGCAGGGAACCAACTGTCAGACCCCAAACGCAAAGAGACCTCGAGGTTCTGGAGCAAGAACTGCTACAAGGGCAAGAACATGTCCAAAGAGTGCTGCTGAAAGCGACAGAATCGCTATTGAAGAGACCCGGCCGGCCGATGACCAACGCCGGCGATCTTCGGTTTCTTCTCATCATCATGGAGAACCCTCTTTTGCACGCGGAGTTGAAAGGATTTGGTGGCATTTTACAACCAGATGGTGTGGCTCCTCCCCCTCCCCAAGTAATCCCTCCAAGACGAAACCTTCTCCCGAGTTCAGGGCTTTTATCTGGCCAACATTCAGGGATAATCAAGCGGATCATCGGTCTCATATCGAACACGCCTCCGGAATGCCACAATCAGCTCATCACGTGGTTTTGCAAGTATGACAACAGACGATTTGTTCGCACCAAGGATTTGGTATCGGGCTTTTTGAGCTACCGACTACTCCGACAAATTGACAAGAAGCAACCTACAGAAGTTGACATTACGGCTGGCTTGATACCAGAGATGCGCGCTGGCCGCTCTGGTGCTGGTTTCTACCTCCATGATGAGATCAGAAACGGAGGAACTTCTAAAAAGAAGGAGTCAGAGCACAAAATTGCGTACACCGAGGATTGGCAGATCAAGGCGGCGTCCCGCGTGCTTGCTCTTCTGTTCGCAGCCAATAGTGTCCCTGGGATCAGACATGGCTATTCAACGACGGCGGTTGGGGTCAATGTTGCGGCTGGTTCAACCCGCGAATATGGGCACTCTAGTGGACAGCTGGTCCCAACCACGGACTTTTACAACTCAATGATAGATTACGCTGATTTGGTCAGCGACTTTGAGTCCTGGGAGTCGAAACGGTCCAAGTTTTCCTTCTGCCAGTATCCGTTCTTAATGAGCATTTGGGCCAAAACTCACATCCTGGAACATGATGCCAAGCGACAAATGCAGATGAAGGCACGCGATGCCTTTCTCGACAGCATAATGACCAACCGCAACGTAAAGCAATATCTTTCTCTCGATGTTCGTAGAGAGTGTCTTGTTGAGGACAGCCTTGCTGCCGTTAGCGAAGTTATTGGAAGCGGAAGTGAAGATGTCAAGAAAGGTCTCCGAATCACATTCAGGGGTGAAGAGGGTATTGACGGCGGCGGACTGCGCAAGGAATGGTTCTTGCTCCTCATCCGGGAGGTCTTCAATCCCGACCACGGTAAAGTTGCGCCGACAACGATTATATCCTGCTGCCTAGCTAATCCAATGCCTGTAGGGATGTTTCTGTACGACGAAGACTCGCAGTATTGCTACTTCAATCCCGCCACTTTTGAAACGTCGGATCAATTCTTTTTGGTTGGCGTAGTCATGGGTTTGGCAATTTACAATTCTACCATTTTGGACGTTGCTCTACCGCCATTTGCCTTCCGCAAACTGCTGGCGGCTGCGCCAGCTCACGGCCTGGGCATGTCGTCTCGCCCAAGGCCATCGATGCAGTATACTTTGGAGGACCTGGCAGAATACAGACCGCGAGTAGCCCGTGGGCTTCGTCAGCTTCTGGACTTTGAGGGAGATGTGGAAAGCGCATTCAGCCTTGACTTTGTGATTGACACTGAGAAATACGGCACAACTGTTCAGGTGCCCCTTTGCCACGGAGGCGAGCGAAAGGCTGTTACAAATAGCAACCGACGAGAGTATGTTGACCTCTACATTCGATATGTACTAGACACGGCGGTGACGCGCCAATTCGAGCCTTTCAAAAGAGGCTTCTACACCGTCTGCGGAGGCAATGCCTTTTCCTTATTTCGACCCGAAGAAATTGAGCTCCTCATCCGAGGATCGGACGAGGCTCTTGATATTGCATCGTTGCGTGCTGTGGCCGAGTATGACAACTGGGAGAGCCGCCAGCCGGACGGGAGTAGCCCCGTAGTCGGATGGTTTTGGGAAACGTTCCAAGAAGCAACACCGGGGAACCAACGCAAGCTTCTTTTATTCATCACGGGAAGCGATCGAATCCCTGCAACGGGGGCCGCTATGCTGCCCATCAAGATTTCGTGTCTCGGCGAAGATGTCGGCCGTTATCCAATAGCGAGGACTTGCTTCAACATGATTTCACTGTGGCAGTATGGATCGAAGCAAAAGCTGGAAGGCATGTTGTGGAGAGCTGTGTTTGAAAGTGAAGGATTTGGTCTGAAGTAGGTCTACATATACAACACACGCCGATGTACGTAGTAACTCGGTGTTTGGAGGATTTGAACCGTTCTTGATGCATACAGCAAGCATATCATCTCGGCATAACACGGGGCGTCAAGGACATGTATGGATAGAGGTAAAAAGCACAAGCTTGTAGTCCAACAGGACAATGACTGGAACCATTGATACCCAGGTTGGTGCAATAGTTGAAGATGAATAAAATATACATAGATGCGTTTTCCCCCCCCAGTTTGAGTAATACAGAGCCACTGATCCGGCAATATTATACATTTTCTTCTTCTCTTTGGCTTTGGAGCATTTGTCTAAGCCTCCTCCTGCTCAGCCATACCCCCTGCTGCCCTCGCCCTCTTCAGCATGTCCTCCTCCTTCTTCTTCTCCGCCCTCAGCGCCCTCACCCTCTCCCTATCGACGCCGCCCTGTGTCTTGATAGCCTCTAGACTCTGAATCTCTGCAATCTCGGCGCTCGTGGGCTGCAACGCCCTGGCGCGCGTCTCGGCGAGGAAGAACTCTAGGATATCGGAGCTGTGCCTGTTCCTCATGTCGATTGTGACGACCTTTTCGTCGGCGCCCGGCGGCTGCGCCTTGGAGAGGCCGGTCCGCGACGAGGCCGGCTGCGAGGTCTCCGCCGCAGGTGCTGCCGAGGAGGAGGAGCCGGCCGAGGCGCGCATGTAGATTGTCATGACGGGCGGTGCGGCGTTGTCGTCGTGCCGGTTGAGGATCATGGGCACCGCCGGGTTGTGGTACTTGAGCCGCGGGAGGTACTGGCGCCAGAACTTTCTGTTTTTCCCACCCTGGTATTAGTCCCTGTGGGAATTGGGTCGCTTGGCGGGGGGACGAACCTGGCTCCCATGTGGCCGTTGGACATGCTCGTCGCGAAGTCCATGTGTATCCTTGTGACTTCGGGCGGCAGGATGGCGGCGCCTGGCCCGCAGCGGAGGTTGATTAACTGTTGGTTTTTGTTAGACGTTAGGAGAGGACGGGGGCGGACGGGGGCGGCGTACCCTCTGTTTGTTGTTAGTTTTGTAGATTGATGAGGCATTTCATTGAGGGGGCTTACCTTTCTGAGGAGGTGTAATCGCTCTCCTAGGGAGCGCATCTTGTTACCGTTTATGAGAGCTTGGTATCGGGTGCGGTGGTTCTTGGAGGTTTGAAGTCGTCAATTGGAAATTCTGGCCCACACCCTGGCCGGCGGACCGGCTTTCATCCGTGGTGTGACGGGATCCTTGTTTAGGGGCCCTTTTTTTTTGGTTTGGAGCTGCAAGCTCGCCAGCCAGGTGGAATTTGAATCTTTGAATCTTTGCGTCTTTTCGGTGTATTTATGAGGGATGCATCGCGTTTCGACGGCGCGCTTGCTCAGTAGGGCACTGGGGATAGGGGAGCGTGCGGCGAGCGTACCCGTCTTTTTGTGCCCTGCCGTCGGTCTACGCAGCTCGCCTGCTCCCCGGAATCTTGCGAGATCGAGCCGCCGGTTCAACAGCACGGGAGTTTCTGCAAGGGCGGTTGAGGATGGGCCGCCGGCGCGGGTAGACCAGCCGGTGAGGCAGCTTCCGGTTACGTGTAGCGGGTGCGGAGCGTTTGCGCAGACCGGTGATGCGCAGCAGCTGGGGTACTTTGACTTGCAGAGCAGGAGGGTGCGCAATTGGCTTCGTCCGCGGAGGAGCGAGGGACCGGGCAGCGCGGCGGCGGCCGAGGACAAGATTGTGGATGATGTCTTGAAGGGCTTGGATGAGGAGCGGCTGGAGGCTTTGGGGTTGCGCGCGGAGAGCATGATGGAGGATGCGAGCGCCAGGGATTTGGAGAGTAAGTGCCACGGCTGGGTGGGCGGTCTTAAGCTTGGGATTGACCGGTATTGGGATTTTACTGACGTGGTCTTTTTTTTTTGTTCTAGGACTTGTCACGGAAAAACCGCCTGTTTGCGACAGATGCCACGACTTGATACACCACAGCACGGCGACCAACACGGCAAAGCTCACCATGCACCACCCGACGGTCGAATCGCTGCGGGACACCATTGAGGAGTCGCCGTACAAGTATAACCACATCTACCATATTATCGACGCGGCCGATTTTCCCATGTCGCTCGTCCCGCGGCTCAATGTCTTGCTGGGCGACATTCCCCTGCGGTCGAGGAATCGGCGCTCGCGTTCAAGCAAGTTCCACAACGACCGCAAGACGGAGATGAGCTTCATCATCACGAGGGGGGACCTGCTCGGCCCCACCAAGGAGATTGTGGACTCCATGATGCCGTATCTCCGTGACGTTTTGAGAGACGCCCTGGGCAGACTGGGCGGCCGCGTGCGCCTGGGGAACTTGAAGTGCGTCAGCGCCAAGAGGGGCTGGTGGACAAAGGATGTGAAGGAGGATATTTGGAACAGAGGAGGCGCTGGGTGGATGGTCGGCAAGGTCAACGTCGGCAAGAGCCAGCTGTTTGAAGCCGTGTATCCCAAGGGCAGGATGGGCGACAGCAACAAGAGAGACACGGGCCGGCCGGCACCTACGCATGCGCAGGCTGCCGACGACGCCGACGGCCAACAGGAAGCCTGGGAGGACCTCAACGTCGGCGAGCTGCTTCCCCCGCCGCAACCCACCCGAAACTACCCTTCCATGCCGGTCGTTTCCTCGCTCCCCGGCACTACGGCGTCGCCCATCCGCGTACCGTTTGGAAATGGCAAAGGCGAACTCGTCGACCTCCCGGGCCTCGCGCGAAGCGACCTCGAGCTGTTTGTCAAGGAACCCCACCGTCAGTCCCTCATCATGAAGAAACGCATCGTCCCCGAACAGGTCGCCGTCAAATACGGCAAGTCGCTGCTCCTGGGCGGCGGCCTCATCCGCATCACGCCTCGCACGCCGGACATGGTCTTCCTCATGTACAACTTTACCCCTATCGACGAGCATCTCACCATGACGGAAAAGGCAATTGCGTTCCAGGAGCAGACGCGCGAGTCTATCGGCCTCGAAAACATCACCCTTGCCGGTGTCGGGGGGAGGATGAAGCACGCGGGGACGTTTAAGCTGTGCCATGACGTTACCAAGAAGCGCGCCGGGCCGCTGACGCGCAAGAACGCTGTGGGACTCCAGGTTGACCGGTTGCCGTTTCGGGTTGTGTCGGTGGACATCCTGATCGAGGGCGTCGGGTATGTCGAGGTGGTTGCGCAGGTGAGAGCAAGGGAGTTTGAGCGGTGGGAACGCATGCAGGCGGATATTGAGCGGGCCGCGGCTGTGGAGGGCGAGGACGCCGAGTCTGCTGCTGCCGCGCCCGGGGAAGAGCCGTCGTCGCAGGATCCGTTTAAGGAGATGATGAGGAACAGGAGAGATGTGCTGGGCGAGGATGGGCCTGCGGTCAAGGCGCAGTCAAGGCTACCCGAGCCGGATTGGCCTGCGGTGGACGTCTTCTCCCCCGAAGGCAAGTTTGTGGGCTCGAGGAAGCCGATTAACGGGTGGTTGAATAACAAGCCGAGGGTTTTGGCGGAGCATAAGAAGATGCGGCCGAGGAGGAGCATGAGGGGGGCCAAGAAGAGGGCCAAGATGGAGAGGCGCAAGGGCGAGTGAGGTGTTTGGTGTGGATATGTATGATGGTTGAGCTGTACAGTATGTATAATACCACTCTATGATGCATGTGCTATTTGTATTTGGGCTCGCAGATGGGGCGTGTAATGGCTCTCGTGAGTTATTTTAAACCCGACTTATAACTACATGCCCACGCTCCCGCATTGTTGATGTAGATTGTGCACTAGTCTAGATACCTCGGTAGGTGGTCTGCGTTTGGTGACAGACGAAACGGGATCGACAGAGACGAGTGACGTGCGTGGAACGTGCAAATGGTGGGGGCGGATCATCCCATCCCAACCCAAAAGAGCAGCCATTGATTGCAACCTCCGAATTTTCGACATTCTCCTCACTGCAATCCCAACAAACGTCATCCGCCTCGTGTAGAAACCAGCTTCACCGCGCACACCTACCTCACCCTAGACAATTTCCAGAATAGAGTGCATCTAGACTCACCGCATTAGAGACGCCACCCCCCCTAACAGCGGACGTAGCCCCGACGCTGCCGACCCTGTGCACGCGACGACGACCATGACAGATAGACAACGCCAACGAGCCGCCCCGGTGCCATCAACGTCCCAGACACAAACACAGACCGGAACGCAGACAGAAACACAGCGCATCTTGCGTCTACGCGGCGGCCACAACGCAACTGGGCGATCAGTACAGTGGGCAGAGGATGTAGTAGACAACGAAGGCTTGGGCAGGAAGAGCTCCAAGGGTAAGCATTCTCGACCTGGGGATGGTTGCGCTTTGCGCCATCTTTTTTCTTATTTGAGAGGGTGTCTGGCTTACCGACCGTTGCTTCTAGTTTGCTGCATATACCACAAGCCAAAAGGCGTAGACGAGTCCAGCGACGAGTCGTCCTCATCGTCGTCGGATTCCGACACCGACTCGGAGCCGGAGCGCGGGAGGGGAGACGGCAAGAAGGCGCCCGCGTGTGGTGGCCATTCGCATGGCCGTGCGAGGAGGCCCAAGGATGGGCGTAGGCAGAAGAGGCCGCCGAGCCCGAATGCGTATGAAAAGGTGCCGAAACAGAAGCCCAAGGAGGAGTCCAAGTAAGGCCTGCGGTGACGATTAAGGAATTGGCATTGTTATTACTGTTTGTGCTCTTATGGCTGCATGTTTTGGTTTGCGTTGGGCTTCGTTGTGCAGGGGGCCTTGGAGGGCATGGGGTTTCTGCGGCGTATACAACATGGGTAGGGATTATGAATATAATTGGCGCTGAAGTGATGCTGGGGAATTGAACTGAGGCTTTTGCGAGGCCGTTTGCCAACGGGTGATGGTGTGGATTGGGTAGATGGGTGTTGCTGGTAGTGAGGCGCTGAGCCATCAGTTCATGTTGTTGTCTTTGATGTTCGAATGTGTTTAGTGGTTGGACGCCGGGCTGCCATCTTGAATCTTTAACGCATCGATGCGCCTGGAACCTCTCATGCGACTTGCTATCTAACAGCTTCTCTGGCTCAGATCGGTACTTTGTTCTTCTTGACTCTGGCCTGTTCCGCGCGGAGCAACATCGACAGCCGGCTCCTGTTGCTGATGTTACGGGTAGGGATGCGATCTTGGTTAGGGGTACACGAACACATGGCTTGATGAAGACGCGGGGTGATGAGTGCTTAATGTTACATGGTAGAGTAAGAGGGGAAAAGTACTCGACCAGACTGATGCCTGGCTATCTGCACCATTATACTACGTTGTAGAATAAGTATATTAGTATACATGGTAACTGAACTATTGATCGGGTATTTTTCTTCGAAACTGTGACGCTAGCTGTCTACCATCGATTACACATCCTAATTGTACATTCACTTGTGCCTCCTTCAGCACCTGTAGCATCCAGAACTCGGCAGGAAAAGGGGTCTTGGAAATCCTCCATCAGCCAAACGGGCCATGTAGATGCTCGGTGCTCACCACCAGGCAGCAGGTCCTTCACCTCGATAACCCTACGTCTTCCGACTCTCAACAACAAAATACTTGCCCGCCTTCCTGCCCGCCGTCCCTACAACATCCCACTTCTCGCTGCTCTCATCTTCGATCCTTGTCCTCACCCTCCTCGGACGCTGGTAATGCCCTACGTGCTCTTCTGCATCCAACAGCCCCTGCATATCTGCCAAAGTGATTGTGTTCTCACGCCTGGCCTCTTCCGTCTCGTCTTGAATCGCACGCAGTGGTTCGACGCCAGTTGTATCGACGCGCTGGACGGCGCGGACAAAGTGGAGTTGGTCTTGGAGGGTGGATATCATGGTGTTTTCTTCCGAGGGCGTCTGGGGCAGGGGCAGCGCAGCGAGGCGTAGTAGATGGTGTAGCTGCGAGCTTGTTATCTTCTCCGTTGCCGCCGGTGCTGCTGCTGTTGTTGTCGGTGGTGGGTGGCGGAGAGATCTCACGGACCAGGTTGGCTTGGAGAGCATCTCGGCAGGTGACGGTTTGCTGGATGTCGACAGGAAGCGCTGCCGGGGACGCAGGGCCCGGCGCAGGAGGCAGCGGCAGCTTGTGCAGAGCGGCATTGTTGGCCGTGTGCTGTTGGGGCACCGAGATTTTTTCCCTCTTTGTCTTTGTCTGAGGTGGTAAAGACGGACACACTGGATGCATCAAAGTCGAGCTTGGAGTCGCAAGAGCTCCATGGGCTCCACCTGCGACCGGGGAGGGGCCTCTACCGTGACGCTTTGTGGTGGCGTTTCACCAATGCGCAGCTGAGGGGTGTCGTCAGTCAGTGTGTGTCATGGCTCCGTCTTTCTTGTCGACCACCACCTTGTCCAACTTACAACCTACAACCTTGACATCGAATCATCACTACCTCGCCATCTCAGCTATACGGCCCATCAAAAAATAGCTTCTCGTTACTATTTAGCATTGAAAAGGCACGATCCGCAGCCATGCCTCGAGATCCTCACACTCTGCTCAAACAGGTGCGGCCAACCCTCCTCCCCTTCCGCTGCCGGGATTCCCAACTGATGTCTTTGTTTTGCGATGCAGGCGGAGAAGAAACTGTCCGGTGGCGACGGCTTCTGGGGCTTCTTGAGCGACAAAAGTGGAAACGACAGCGATGGAGCGGATTTACTCGAAAAGGCAGCTAATGCTTTCCTGGCAGAGAACTCGTGTACGCGCCCCCTCTGTCCACAGCAAGCATGCAAGGACGCCATCTACCAGAATCAGGAACTGATCTGACGATTGACTAGTTGTCGAGGCAGGAAAGGCCTTTGAAAAGCTCGCCGCAGTCTATAGAGACAAGTTAGAATTGGATTCGTCAGCTGCCGGTGCCGCTGGGAGTGCCATTGAGGCCTACGTGAAGGCTGGTGACGCCCCCGCCGCCGCGCGATGCTTCGAGCTCCTCAGATCCCCAGCCTTGAAGAAGGGTCAATCGAATCGAGTCGACAGATATGGGCGGCTGCTGGCCGGCCTGTACGAGAAGACGCTGGGAGACATGAAGTCGGCATCGTTGTGTTATGATGCGATTGCGGAGGAGTACGAATCAAACCATAATCCACAGTACGTATATTCCCTTCTCTTATGCCCCCCCCCCCATAACAATGCAATTTGCTGATAATTCTCGTCTCAGTAATGCCAGGAAGAACAGGATCCAGGCGGCGGCGACTCGCGCCATCTACTTTGCCCAACTAGTCACAGCCGGCACTAATCCACACGAGAGCGCCAAGGACCTCAAATATGTCGAGAGAAACTTGATGAAATTGGCACAGGACTCCTACAACACAAACGAAATGCTGTTCAGACTGGGGGTTGTTTACCTCATCACGGGAGATTCGAACGACTATGATAAGGCTGCAGCTCCTGCCGCACCCGCTGCTGCGTCCATTGCTGCTCAAGCCACCGCCGCTGGATCTGCAGCCGGTGCGCTCGCCGAGGAAGCCAATGCTGCACTCGATGCTCAAACCCGACTCGACTATGGTTTTACAAGGTCGAGGGAAGGTGCACTAGTGCGCGATCTAGCCGCGGCGCTAAAAGCGGACAACTTGCCACAGTTTGTGAAATTAGTCATGCAATATCCCGGGACGAACGAAGAGTCCAAGGCTTGGAATGAGACCATGTTGATGCTAGCGGGGGGTTACAAATGGAAGGGCAATGCCGTCAAGGCAGAAATAGAGAGACAAAAGCGACAGCCTTTTGAAGATTCGCAGAACGAGGGTCAGCAGCAGTCTTGGGGAAACCAACCGCCGCCTCAGCAGTATTCACAGCCTCAATATCAGTCACGGGAGCAGCCCCAATATCCGCCAGAAAAGCAGGGCGCAAACGATCTGGAACCAGACGTTCCGGATGCAAACGAATGGGCCTAAAGCTCAGAGGAGCAGCATCACATGTGGGGAAGGTGAGGAGGTTTCAGCAAGGGCCTGAGCTGGGCATCGTACTGGCCGCCGCTTGCGCGGAGAATTATGCTGTGCCGGCCTACCATATGAATCTATGGCTTGACAAGGCAAGACGAAGTTGTTGCGTGGGAACTAGAGGGTCGGGCGAGAACTGGAGCTGGAACTAGTTTGTCTAATATAAAGCTAGCTTGTGAGGTGCAGTGCCTCAAGCAACTCTATTGTCGTGGTGGCTAGAAAATAATCACAAGTGCAAGCTCTTTTTTCACGGCTGCCAGCCACATCTGTGGCCAAAATCTATGTCCCGCTGCCATTATTCCCAGCTCCGTTGGCACGTCTAAAAGATGTGCAGCTTCGATTTCAGAGTGCGCTTGCTCTACCACACTGTCTGCTCTCACGATCCGCAGGGAATGGGAATCGGAGCGATAGATAATAGGAGGCAAAAAGTATGTAATGCCATCGGGGACCTAGCTATCGTGCTTTGTACGACTATTGCTAAAGTTGTTCATCTATGCTGCTGTACACTGTAAGATTTCTCGTGGATCCTACCTGCCATGTTTCGCTTCAGAGTCGATAACTTCAGGTACCAAAATAATATCACGGCTGCAAATTGCTACACAAGGAAACTTATCAAGGTCCCTAATTTAGAGTACCAGACCCTTTCCGTTACTCAACATTGAATTCCAA